ACTTATTCATCACAAAACATCTCATATATATAGGCAAAGAAGGGGAACTAAACAGCCCAAACAGCCATAAATATCCAGCACAGGAATTCCAAACAGCATAGCAAGTCTCAAGGAAAAAGGCCACGGTTCCAGCACAGGTTCAGAAATTCCAACCGGCACCTCAAATCTCCAAAAGGTGGCCACGGTTCCAGCACAGTGAAACCCCAAACGGCACAGCAAATCCAAAGAGGGAATTTCGGTTCCAACAGCCAAGCACAAGAAACCAACAGCCACCATTAAAGCACCATGAAGGCCACGGTTCCAACAGCCTAAAGAGGGAAAAATAATGCAGCAGCTCAAGAGGCAAAGGAAGAGGAAGAGACAAGTTCCACTCACCTAATATCTTACACCTCATAATGAATTTAGAGCTAAACATCAGCTCATAATGAGCTACTCCTCCACTAGATATTAATGAGCTAGCACCACTAGAGTTTCAACTACTTAAGCTCAAACCCGAAATCAGCCAAGGCTTCATAGAACTAGAAAATAACCCAAAAGAGAGGGGGAAGATGAAAAGACACAAGGCAAGAAATTAAAAGAAAAACTCAACTTGTGTTGACCCCCCCTTTGTCTACATCAGTTAGACTTAAGAAATACAAGAAAAGGGAAAAGTAGAACCTCTGTCAAGGATCGGTGGCAATCCTCCACTCGACGATCTCAAGTTGTTCTTCAAGATGTTGGGAGGAGATTGGGGAAAGGGATTGGGGTTTCCTATTTGGGGTTTAGGGATTAGAAAAGATTTAAATTAACTCCAATTTAAATTTGAAATTCAAATAGGGTTAATTTAGAAACTTTCCTAAAATAGATTTAATAATTTAAGAAAGATTTTAAATTTCAAATTGCTTGAATTTGAATTCAAAATCTATACCAATTATTCCAATCCAAATTAGGCAATGGAAATCAAAGAGGAAAGGGGGCTAGGGCCGGCGGGTGGATTGGATTCGGGTATCGGGGCCGGCGGCTAGTTGGGGTGTTTGTGGAGCTCGGTCGAGTAAGGGGAAATGGCTTGGGAGGGAGAAGGGCTTGAATGCAATGATGGCCGGTGGTGGTGGTGAGAGGGGAAAAGAATGAGATAGGGAAGAAAACCACGAACCCGACTCGTCTAAGTTGGTGGGTGTTACGCAATTCTCCCTCTCCTAGGGATTTCACTCCAAACTCTCAAGCTCTCATGAGAAGTCAAACAAGAGAAACGAAAATTTTACTTGATTATTCATTAACTTCCAAAGAGAAACATAGAGGCTATAAATAGTCTCATACATAAGACTCAAAAAATAGAAAAGACGACAACGCCCTCAGGGCTTATATACGACATCCCTTAATAAAAAGGGTACAATGAGAAACTAAATAAAACAAATACAATGTGACATCATAAATAAAAAATACATGAAATAAATCAAAAATACAATGACTCAATCGTGGTCGTAGATCAGCAACCACGCCTTTGATAAACCTTCCATGATCTGATGTCCCCGTCAGAAAACCTACCTAAATGTGCAGAATCAAACAAAAATTCAAAAATAAGGTAACCGGAGAAACTTTGAAATGAAAAAATAATTCATATATGAAATTAAAACGTTATGGAGAACTACATAAAGGTGATAACCACAAAATCAAAAGCTGAGATAAGTTCTTATCAAGTTGCATGATGTCATAAGTTGCCAACTAGCAAAAATATTAATACAGCTCTACCTTTCAAGATGTATATAATGGTAAGAGCCACAATAAGATAAAAAGAAAACATTAAAACCCAGACAGCTTTTCCATCAAAAAATAGTCTGATATGATAAATCTCTTGAGGAAACCATCAGTATAACATAATTATAATTCAAGTCAAAAGAAGATAAAATATAGCTTGAAAAAAAAAACAGGCATTGTGGTCTATTGTATTATAATAATTAATCTAAAGCACAAATTTACCATTACAAGATGGCCGTTTCTGGCAGTTTCTTCTATCTGGTCTCTTCAAGGGCTCATGTACTCCAAAAATCTCAGAAAACCTTAATATCACTAGCCCATCCTCAACACACAAAACAGGTAAAGCTGACTCACATTTTGAATTGACTTGCTCTTCCAGGACTGCTTCGTCTTCCTATAAGACGTTTGCAAACTTTATAAGATGTTTGCAAACTTTATAAGAATGTGAAAAAGGAATGCAGGCGGAACATGGCATTTAATTTGAAAAACATCAAACAACTCGAACAAACGGGATCTACAAAAACAAATAAAGATTAAATTTTAGTGCATCATAAAAGGAGACCAACTAGGCATTAATTATTACATTACCATTAATAAAAGAGAATTCAAGCATTTTATTATAATCCAAAACAGACTGAATTCAAACAAAAGTGAAGCATATAATAAGAAATAAAAAGAAGTTTATCCAAACAAACAAACAAAAATCTACAATCAGCACTAAATTATGTAATAATTGATCTAACAGAATTTTAAAAGTGGATTCCTTCAAAGCAAGAATCTCTAGTAATTAGAGACGGGATTTAGCTTCCTAGGAAGAAGATCAAACAAATTCAACAAACCTGCAAAAAACTATTCTCATAAATCCATACATTAATAATGATTTTTTAGGCGATTTTGCTTCAACGCAGCCAATCATTGTGAGTAAGAAATTTAAAAGATATGGATCAAGTAACTAAAGACATTCCAGTGGATGGCCTATCAAAAGAGGTCCTTCCAAAAGCACAAACCATTCAATGGCTCGTTCCTCTACATTCTTGAACTCCAATGTACTAACTTTAATAGCTACACCCAAAATTGATCAGAACTCTAATGTACTAACTTTAATAGTTACACCCAAAATTGATTTGATCGCATGAGGAAAATAGCTTCACCAAATCTTGTCAATTCATAAGCACTGTCGTTCCCAAAAAAAAAAACAGGAAACATAGTATAGCTTTCTAATCAATGTCCTCTAAGCTTCTGTTATTAGACCAGCTGCACATGAAAAAATAAACTTAAGAATAATTAGCATTCAGCAGCAAGTATTCCAGGTGAGATCTGTCAAATTTTCTCAAAAGCAATGGGAAGCCTACGTTTTAGCTTTCAAAGCCATTAGTTCTAAAAAAAACACTTATGTTTTTTGACCCATTTTAAATGAAATGCGTGTTTTGGAAATAACTAGAGTTTCTACAATACCAATGATAGAGGACAAATAACATTTGGAACTTACTAAGAAGATCAAAACCTTTAAAATAATATGCAATTCAAAAAAATGTAATGTTCAGGGATTTCTTAACAAAAATACATCAAACACGATGCATAAGAGATGCAAAGTACAAAAGATATGCAACATAAGATTGCAATAACGGAACAAACTTTAATACAAACAATAACAAGTCACTTTAGAAGATTCAGAGAAAAACTCTAGGTGCACTAGTAATAGATCTTTAACTAAAAATTATTCACAAGGGTTCAAATCATATTCAAGAATCACGGCAAAGTAAGAATTGATGCACTGAATGGATACCCGTCCACCAAAGTAGGAGGGTTGAAAACCATGGCATCCAAAAAATTTGATTGGCAACTATGAATTGACTTCTCTCAAGTATTTAGATCGGAATGAGATGAAAATTTATTTATTAAAGTCGTGATTCTGAGGTTAATGTAAACTTGTTCAATAAAAGAGTGCTAATCATACAAATATCACTAAGTAGTTCAGAGGCCTAATGCATGGCCACTAGTGATTAAAAAGTATCATACATGATCAACAAGAGCTAAGAAGCATAGCACAACCTCCAATTATTCACGGTTTCAGATTAACTAAAAGAATCATAACAAAGAAACATGATTGATTTTTTGGATTGTATAATTTTAAATGGTGAATTCTATTTTGATTGGTGTGCTTGTTAGCATGAGAGCTAGCTCAAATTTAATTTATGTTGGGGCTTACATCCATTAAAACACAAAATGTTTTCCTTAGAGCATTTATGATGTAATCAAAAATTTGGGAAAGGGCCCCAAATTTTTTATCACAAAAGAAAACTCTTCCTAGATAATAGAAAGACACAAATGTACCCAAAAAGGCACTTTTTCTAACAAAAGATGACTTACAAACTTTGACTCTTACAAACAATAACATAAACGCTTACAAACAATAACATAAGGACACAATGACATTCCTAAAACTGCTTACCAAATGTTGAGAAGAAGGATACAGGTGAGGTGGCACTTGCGGCGATAAGAAAGAGGTTAGAAGCCAAGACGAAGGAGGAGGACAAGCTCGCAAGCTTTCCCAAGGAGGAGAGGAAGAGAAGTTGGACAAAGCTCGCAAGCTTTTCCAAGCAAAACCCGCAGGTTATGGCTTCCAAAAATCACATCATATCATAAACTCCTAAAACAGCCACAAACTCACTATATATAGGCACAAAAGAAGGGAACTAAACAGTCATAAAAACATTAATTAAAACTATTAAATTAGGGAATATGAAATGCCAACAGCCACTTCAGCAAATCACAAACGACACAGCAAAACAGAGAAGGAAACCCACGGAACCAAGCAGGGAACTCACGGAACCAAGAGTCCAGCACACAACCAAGCAGGGAACTCAAAACCGAACAGCCAACCACGGAACCAAGGGGGCAAAGGCACGGAATTTCTCCCAGCATAGGGAAACCAGCAGCCAACCACGGAAACCCAAGAGACAAAGCACAGGAAACCAACAGCCATACTCGTAAATCCAAGGGAGCACGGGAGAAGAAAAGGGGGGAAGGAAGAGACAAGTCCACTCCAAAATAAATCCATACCTTTTTAGATTAATGAGCTAGGTAGTTCAATAAATCTCCCATTTAATGAACTAAAAAACAGCTCAAAGTATTAATGAGCTAGAGAAGTCAAAACCAAATTTTAGGATTTGATTTGGTTTTTATAAAGTCGTGAGGCGGTGCAAAGCCTGACATGAATTAGTTACGATGGGGTTTATAACTATTGAAAGGGAAAATTTATTTTTGATAGAGCTTACATTCATTGTAAGGCTCAAAAGCGAGACTTACAAACTTGAGAAAAAGAAAAACCTAGTTATGGGTGGAACCTATAGTAGTAAATGACTCGATGGAAACAATCAACAAAACACAAGCTTTTAATCTATGAAGATGACTGAAGATGTTGAGTTCCACAATTGAAGGTCACATAAAGTAGCTTGATTTTTTATAAAGACGTGAGGCCATCCCTACAACGAAGGACAAATTTCAAAACTAGTTTGACATGACCTGAATAACTAATGAATCATCAGTCTGAGCAGCGCAAAGCCTGCTTAGTAAATTAGCAAGACACCCATTACCACTTTGACATTGTTAAAGTTGTTTGAAAAAGATTTCAACAGAGGAACTTTCCGGCCTTGAGAAAAAAAACATAATACAAGACCAAAATCAATGGGAGAATGTTGGTGAAGAAGCACAAAGAAGTGATTTAAATTATATACTAATAAAAGAGCATAAACAAACATGAAAACAAATTCCAAGACAAAAACCTAAAACATGTTCAAGCCAAGTGTAACAGCTTAAATGCATGTATTGGCAGCGAAATAATTTCATCCACATCAACAAAAAGAAATAATGTTAAGAAAAAAAAGGCATGGATAACAAAAGCTGACAAATAACCTGAAAAACAGCCGGCTCTAATGCAACTTCCTCAATTTCCAAAGATACACGAGAAGGCATATCATCATCAAGGGATAACGACTTCGCAGATGCAACCTCCAAATCCCCTCCTGTATAAGACAAGTAAGGTCACATAAACATGGAAGCAGAGGTAGCAAAAAAAAAAGGAAAAGAGAAGCTCACGCCATAATTGAAAGCAAAAAAGGTATATGAAGAACATATTTAACTGCTGCTCAATTTGTTGTCTAAAATAATTGGAAGCATAATTTATGGCCCAATAAACTTGCAAAAGCACCCAATATTTAAAAGTAAATACATGCATCAGGATAAACTATGCAAGTTCAGGTTGAACATTAAAAAATAATCTAAAAAGCTGTTTAGCGGTAAATCACACAATTAAACGATGTGAAAATTTAATGTTCCATAGTTGACAAAATGTAAAGCATGAATGAAGACCATATGCTCATTGTATTGCATGTGCAAAGCTAACATGCATTGCATGGAAAATATGAATAACACAAACGCACTCCACTATGACCTTCAATAGCAAATAGCAGGCAATTGAAAGTTGAAACTACATGTTCTTCTTTCTTCATTTTCTATTTTGATAAGTCCAGTTGAGGAATTTCTTAAAAGGCAAGTTGCGTGGGCAAGCTCGTTTAGCAAGCAATGGATCATAGAAAATTAACACCTTGCTCTAGTTTAATGAACTTACACCACTATTAAGTCTCTCCCCATCCAGTATAGCAGATTACAAAAGACAATCAAAGCATAATTCTGTCCTGAAAATGCTCCTATGTAGAGAATGTTTAAAAGAAGGAACAAAACATGAGAAAAAAACTACTAGAAAGCATCATACTTCTTTAAGAGAAACCAAGGTATAATAGCTAATCATGTCAAATGTTACAATATAAACAGAAAATATTAGTAGAAAGAATTAAAAAAAAATAACTGCTTTCCAAGTATGACCTGCCAAAGAAAGGCCTTCAACTTCATCAATTTTTTCCTTGATTTTGCTATCCTTCCCCATGTCATCATCCTCGTCATAATCTTCTTCATCAAAAATGGAAGCTTTGCTGTTCAAAGAAGACAAAAATGCATCTGACGAGAAGTATTCTTTCCTTGGCAGCAAGTGATCTTCCTCTGTGGCCGCCTGTACTTCTGGCCCATCATATTGCTCGTCAATATCCTCATAATCAACAGCATCTTCAGCCTTCTCATAAAAATCTACAGGACAATAAAGACATTTAACCACAGGAATGGAATATACGTTGCAAAATATATTAAGTTGATCATAATCTTAGAAAGTTATGGTGGCATAGTGAATAAAGAAAGCTTTTATTTGCCTGGCTCATATGGAGCAAATTGCATTCTTCATTGTTTTTTTAGACCAATACAGTGACTAGCTACTAATAATTAGGAGCATCATACATCAAAAACATGATTTGTCGGCTCAAATGAATTACCAAGTTCTGCTTAAACTTGCTTATGCCAGCAATGATGCATTCTCTTAATCAAAATCCAACACATCGCCTTCTAACTGGAAGCAAAATTTTGGAGAAAATGTGATGCATTCAAGATTTTTGTATTTTATTATCAAGCATTGAACATTAGTTTTTAATTTAGTTTTATATTTTTTTTAGCTATCCAATGATGGAAGGCATCCAATGATCATGGTAGGTTGTGCTTGGGCTTTGGCAGACCTTTAGTTTGCTAGCTTGATTGGGTCCCTTGGGCTGCTGCTGGTTCTCGGGTTGAGCTGGTGTTGATGTTGGGAGGTGGTGATTACTTTGGAGTTGAGCTTTATTTTCTAAAGATGCTAGCTCATTAATGTTGAGCTGAATTTAGTTCATTAATTGGGAGATTTATTGAACTTCCTAGCTCATTATTCCATAAATGTATGCTTTAATTCAAGGATTCAATTTGGAGTGGACTTCTCTTTTCCTCCCCTTTGTCTTCTCGTTTTCCTGTGCTGGGTGATTTTCCCGTGCATTGCCCCTTTGGTTCCCGTGGCTGGCTGTTTGGTTCTTGTGGTTGGCTGCTTGGTTCATGCGGCTGACTGCTTGGTTCCCGTGGCTTTTCTTCTCTGTTTTGTTGTACCGTTTGGGAGCTGATGTGTTATGGTTGTTGGTCTTTTATTTCCCTAAATCTAATTGGTTTAGTTGGAGGTGCTATGGCTGTTTGGTTCCCCTCTCTTGCCTATATATAGAAGATGTTTTATGAAGGAAAAGGTTGTTGAATTTTGTTGAGCGTAGTCTCTAAAACCTGAGGGTTTTCTCTCCTTCTTGGAAAAGCTTGAGAGCTTTGTCCACTTCCTCTTCTTCTCTATTTTGTCTGGGCTTCTTACCTCTTTCTTCTCTACGCAAGTTCCACTCCATTTGTATCCTTCTTCTTGAAGCTTTGGAAGTGTTTGTTGGCTGATTTGGGAGCATTTGCCGGAGGAGTTTGGTTGGACGTTTGGACCTTCTTGCTGTGGTGGACCATCGGTTTGCTAGCCCTAAGCACATACTTTACTTAACCTACATTTCGATGCATGTGAGGCAACCTTTCTGTCGGTTGTTCTGAGGATAGTGTCTTTTTTATTTTCTTTTGTTTCATTTGATCTCACTTCTTGTTTTATCCTTCGGTTTTTGTGTTTTTTTTTATGATTGCTACTATTTGAATCGAGTTTGGTTATAGTTTTGCCCATCGTACTCCTTATCTGGCTTTTCTATCTAGTTTGTCTGCATCAAAATGTTAAAATAGTCTGGATTATTTATGAGGAACCATTGTAATCCAATATATGTCCAATTTAGTCACTTTGATGACTCCTTAAATATGATCCAAAGTAGTCCATTGACTCCTCCAATCTGATCTAGATTAATCCAACATAGGAACTATTTTGGACCATACTTGAAGAGGTAAGAAACGAAATTGAACATATTTGATAGTTGAGACTAACATATCCCCATACAAACAGTCCAAGGACCATTGCGACATTTTTCTTCACAAATTTTTTAACAAATGAAAATTGTTTAGCTCAATTTGGAAAGGTATGTTTCTCTTGTATACAATATTTTCAAAAGCTAACATCAACTAATAAAGCAAGTATGAATTTTATATGGCATGATGCAAAGGTTCAAGGTTCACACTTATAATACCAAAAATAAAGTTAAGTATTTATCTTCATTTAATTCTAACCGAAATTTTGAGTATTAGTTAATTAAATCATTTTCTTATATATTAAAACAGTAGTGGAAACAATAGCTTTTCCACTTAAAGCCACATGCATTGGAGGAGGCTGTGAGTGGGAAATCCTGCAGCTGAAATGGGATTAGTAGAATAGGAATTACTATATTTTAATTTTAGTGGAATAGCTGCAAAGACTTAAGCCCTCTCTTCTTCATTTCTACAACCCGATTCCCTGGCCTAGCATCTAAAGCTTTCCGTGAGCTGAGCGGGAGCAGGTGCTGCTCGGCGGAGCTAAGGCAGGCAGCAGTGGGGAAATTTTCAGCAAAACAAGGTAAGGAAAATTAGGTAGATGTTGTAGTTAGTGGCTGAAACTATTTTTTAGTTGAGATTAATTGTTGTTTGCAAATTCTAGGTAAGATTGTTGCTACTACATGCTTCCTGTTGTTACATATAAAGCTTGATATTTTATGAGAATATAAATAGATTAATTTTTACTCATCTGATTCTAATAGAAGTAGTTCAAAATGGGTGTAAGTAAGAAGGGCCCTGTTTAGATTTTTCATCTATGTTATAATCCAGGTTGACTGTAGGGGGAGTCAAAATGAGGTGTGACAATACTTGCCATCAAAAAATGAGAAGTTTATGTGTTGTGCTAGACTATTTACTTTAAAATGTACTGGAATCAAAGATAGCCATGTAAAGTCAATGACCAAGAGCCTGTTAAAATTGATGCTCAGCAGGAAATGCAATTAATCTTCTTCATCATTTTCAATATCAATCACCTTTCTCTTCTCTAATTTAACAAATAATAAAATAAAAAAAATCTCAAGGGACGCCTCACTAGTGAGGCATGAAACTCTTTGCCCGCTAGTGAGGCAATAGCCTCAAGACAAGAAACTTTGCATGTGCCTATCTCAAAGCAGAACATCAAGATGCATAACTTATAGTGTATTTTTAAATACAGCTTTTACGTTGAATCTATTGAATCTTATTTGTGTTAGGCAGTGTCGAATACTACATAAAAATCCATCAAAAATATGCATTGCATATTTTTTATTTTTTTTTTTTTTGTATCAATAACAATTAGGAAACCCTATACTTGATACCATCTAAATGTTGGCAACATACGAAAATATTAGCATGTTTAATCACAAAGATAACAATATAGCATTCGAAATGTACTGTCAAGTATTAGTGAAGAGTGTAACAATGTTTGTGAGCTTAACTTAATAAGAATATTCACTTCTACAGAGGTACCAGAAAACTATTAAATATAAATTTTTCTAAGATGAAATTCAGATTTTGACAATGATTTAGGCGAGCATTCATACAGAAGATATCCTCAATTTGTGAGCTGAATATGTAATAAAAGGATCTGCTGCATTCTCTATTAGTATCCATTGTCCTTTTTGTAAAATTTACTTTAAAACAGAGTATTTATGTACGCATAAGAAATCTGTAAATGACCTGCCCGGATAAAGTATTGTATCACGCCTTCCTATCCATACAAATCATGCAGCATGACCAGGTTTTAAAATGAAAATTAACTTACAAACTAAGTTCAAATTATCTGATGATACATTAGCATAACAGTTAGTAACTAGTCTGATGTGGAACAATCATGGGAAGATGAGATGCATAAAGACGTTTGCACGTTTAGTTTTAGAGAACAATAATAAGCAAGATCTCATGTTGATTTGAAAGATAAAATAAAATAAAGTGATAAATAGCGTTGGTTAAATTACATGCATAGAAGTTAAGAGCATAAAAATCAATCAATTTAATCCATTTTGCATTCGTGAATGGTCTCAACAATAAATCCCTTCGTTAACATTAAGACTAGCTACTACAAGGAACCCTTCACTCAACTCTTCCTATTACTAGGCTTTAGCGGAGGGACCAACAACATCTTTGTGAATCAAAATATAACCACGTGGGAGAAATAAACTAAGAGGCTAAAAGAGTCGGAGGTCGAGTTTACCCGAAGTATGAAGTATACGAGGCTCCGGTGGTCATAGAAAGGCTTGGAAGGAGGTAGGTGGCATCCACGAACATTCTTGAAGGTGTGATCAGCAATCTGACGCGTCCTGACAGCGTTTGAAGACCTTCCACTCGGCTGGACAGCAAGAAACAGGTGCAGGTTTTCTCAGAACAGCACACTCTCATGCCCAGAAAAGTCTCAGGCAGTGAACGGGGACTTATCCGATCAGTTGGACGGCAAGGTAAAGCTGTCCTGAAAGTGCTGCAATAATAGGGGCTGGCGGGAAACGAGGGGCAGCTAGCTGTCTTTCCTGGACAGCAGTTTGTGAGCCCTTGAGTTACCGGAATACTAGGGACTGGTGCAGGAAAAAACTCTGGCTAGGGATCCTTTTAAGAGGTTGGAAAGCAAGTTGTATGGTTCAAAAAACTTGAACTGCAGACGTTGGCAGCAACGGGAAAATTCTGGCATAACCACGGTGAAATTTCCTTTGCTGGCATTACATGGCAGCAAGGGGAAGTCCAGAAATTAATGTAGGAGGAATGACCTTGGGATTCACATTAATTCTAAAGGCTAGAAGAGGGGGATTAAATTCAAAACTGAAATTGATTTCAGATTTTGAATGCTTTGGAGGGAATTAATTTGAAATTCGATTTCAAATTAATGGGTGATTAATACATTGATTGGGGTGTTAATGGGGGGGAAGTCATGAATGGGGCCGGCGGTATAGAGGAGAGAGGGAGGGGAGTTTAATTCAAAAACCTGAAATTAATTTCAGGATTTGAGAGAATTTGGGGGGAAAACTAATATGAAATTGATCTCAAATTAATTAGATTTTGGGGGAGATTAATGAGCATTGAATGGGGCCCCATTAAAGGGGTGGCCGGCGGCATTGAGAGAGAGGGGGAGGTGATTGGGGGGGAATTTGAGAGCTTCTAAATGCAGCCCTCTAATTAAGGAGGGGAAATAATTAAATCCTATTCAATTTAAAATTAAATTGAATGAGATTCAAAACTTTCCAAAATATGGCGGGGGCAAATTAGGAAAGATTTTGAATTTCAAAATTTGGGGCTTCTCTTTCCTAACTCAAGGGGGGGTTATTTTGGGAGAATGTAGTGATGTCATTAGTCCTCATTAATGGTGGGGACAAAGGGGGAGGCCGGCGGCATGGTGGTGAGGGGCTTGGGAATCCGGTGGGGATTTGGGAGTAGATTGACGGTAGAGATTTGGGGAACTTAGTAGATGATAACTCAACAATTGGTGGTGGCCGAATTTGAGGAGGGAGGTGGAGGAAAGGGAGGTGGCGGCTTGGGAGCAAGAGGGGATGGTGGCGGGTAGGGAAGAAAGACGAGGGGAAAAGATAACGACCACGAGCCACGGACTCTTCCAATGACTGGTGGGTATTGCGTCGCCCTTCACCAAGGGATTTTCTCAAAGCTCTCTCCAAGAACTCTCAATCTCTCACAAGAGTAGAACACATAAATTTTCATAATAATCTTCATTAGCCCTTCTCCAAGAAGAGGAGGGATTTAAATAGACAAATACAAGGAGGGAAAAATAAAAGACAACAATGCCCTCGAGGCTTACAAAGAACTAATCCCTTAAGCAAGGGCATAAATGGAAAAAGACAGAAAATAAATAAATACAACACATATAATTGAGATAAAAAAAAGCGTCATCATAGCCGTCGATCATCGGCCACGTCTCTGATGGAACATTAAGGGTCTGATGTCCGCATCATAGTCTTTCGTAAGAAAGAATTTCTGCTGCAATCATTGCAACTCCGAACCCTGGCTGCAGTTTGCACTTAGCACCATAGCATGTCTCCACATATCATCACACTTGGTTGGTTGGGGCACTGCTACTACAAAACTACAATCTCTCATAGCACTGAAACTATTGAAGTCCAACTGCCTTCCAGTAATGTCCAATCATTCTACAATAAAAGTTTTTTTTTTAGTTTGTATCAAATCCTTTTAGGATCAATTTGGGACAGCTTTCATCAAATCCTTTTAGAATCAATTTGGGACAGCTTTCTTGTTGCTTTTCTTTTCAGATAATAATCATAACTTCATTTGGATATTACTTTTTTTATTTTAGCTTTCTCACTTATATTCAAAAAAATTTGTGGTGCAAAGCTGGTTTTTGCAACCAGAGAAGCTAAGTTACTTTCCCCATAGCAACTTCATAACCAACTTTATAAAAAGTTGTAGTTGTCCCGAATACACCCTTAAGCATGTGAAACATAAACTTATATAAATTTCATTGTGCAACTGAAAACATTAATTTATATCAAAAACTAAGATTAAAAATGCATGAAATTTTAATTTTGTTTGAAAATTCAAACAACAACAAAAAATGTCTTTGTTGGTGTCGATTGCAATACACCTGCAAAAAAACTGACTTGCAGAAAATAACAGAAAATCATGGAGTTGGATTGTTTATAAGAAAACATAAATACTTCAATAGAAAACACTTCCATGAACAGGATAACCTTCAGTTTATATATACTTTCAATGCTTTCTAATTATTTTTCTATTGACATATGAAATATACAAATGGCTTCTTATACAACCATCCCAATACATCCAAATATTCCTAAAAACTTCCTCCGCCCGCTGCCCCTTTAAAGCACAACCTACTTTACCAATAAAACCATTCTGTTAAAAGGATTTAAGCTAAAATCCATCAAAATAATTCCATATTCACCCACAAGTCAATAAGAAAATAACAAATAATAACAACATCTGATTCATGAAATAAAGAAGATAACTTCTAGAAAACATAATTGATTAAAACCTATTAAGGAAGCAGACTTATCGTTGAAGTTTCTGGCAATAAAATAACTAAGACCTCATTTGGTAATGCTTTTTAGATGATTAGCTTTCAAAAACAACTGTTTGCGCATTTCAAATCATCAAGAAATATAAAAAGTCAAATCAACAACAACAACAATATCAAGCCTTTATCCCACTGCGTGGGGTCGGCTACACTAATCCTTTTTCTCCCTTGTGTCTTGATACGAGTCAAATTATCATTTAAACCTAATAAAATATATTTTTTTAACCAAGCATTTTTAAGTCTACCCCTATGTTTCTTAACATAGGTCAAATCTAATACATCTACTCTCCAAACCGGGCCATCAAAAGGCCGACGTTTTATGTATCCAAACCATCTAAGGCGACACTCTCTAATTTTAGCTTCCATTGAAGCTACTCCAACCTTTTCACATATATACTCGTTTCACATTCTATCGCTAAGAGTGAAGCCACTCATCCACCTAAGCATCCTCATCTCTACAACACTTAACTTAATTTTATGTTTTTCTTTTAATGGCCAATATTTTGTGCCATAAAGCATTGCAAGTCTCACCACCTAAAATCAAAACAATAAAAAATAGTGCAAAGCACAAGGCATCATGAATAATTTATTAATAACATTGTACAAGAAAATATCCTTAAAAGTAGAAAAACAAAAGCAACGTGGTACAAATTGAACCTAAAATTTCTTAAACATGCATGAAGGTTGACGAAGACAATCAGATTGAAATATTAAGAATTGTAATCAATATGGTGGATAGTCAAATCATAAATCGAAATTAATAATGGATTATCCTTCAACTATTGTGGCACTTAATTATTCAGTAGAGTTCAATTTAATCCGATAGCTTGATAATTTACAAAAATACCCTTTACCAATGCACGCCATCTAAAGGGAAATACAAAAAAAAGTAAGAAAATGACAGCCTGAAGTCATAGACAAGTTTGAGATCTTTTGCAAATATTATCATTCTTCAAAAGGTCATTCCGTGTACAGTGTTAGTTAAGAGGTTAGTTGAGGACAGACAAAAGTTTTATGATCCAAGAAACTATATATTATATAATAAATGTGTGCTTGTGTATAATGTATATATTATAGCAAAACCATAAATATGATATAGCTTGTTTCCATTCTCCTTGGGAAATTTTAGCAAAAGAACCTCAAATAAAAACAGGTATTACACATAATTCCCAGGTCAAAGTCCACAATCCAATGATGATATATCTAATATGAAATATAATTAGATTGGCAGCTCTCTCAAATATAAAAGGCAAAGAGAGAATAATCTCTCAAATATAAAATGCAAAATGAGAATAAGTATATTACGCAAATTGCATGTATAAATTTTCACACTATATGTCAAACTAGGCGATTCTCAGATCATCACCCTGTTCAGAAGCATATGTTGTAGCTGGTGGAGATTTTCAGTCAGACCGCATGTTGACCAGCATACACGCGCATCTTTGGTCAGAGTCGGCATGTCATAACCACATATCAATTCTAAATCTAAGAATTAGATCCATTAGAAGATGCACATTTATGCTGGTGAATATGAGGTTGACTGATTGAATGAATTTGGGTTCATCGAAAAGATAATATGTAGTATATCAAGGCAAATGGCATGTATATAAATTATACTGCATTAAAGCTCAAATTAATCAAGTCTTGATTCTCACCCTGTTCAGAAGCATCTGTTGTAGCTGGAGAAGATTTGATGAGCTGCAGTACAGAAAAAATTTTACTGAGGACAACAAAATTAACAAAATCTCCCTGATTCCTTAGATAGATAATGCTCCTATGTTTAAATCATAATATGAATTGATAACTCACATCCATATCAGTGAGAGAAGGACCTAGCTTGTCAGCCAATGCAGAAAGGTGCTCCTTTGCGTCCTGTTAGATAATAGTTCAAGAAATTATTCCGCCAAGGAAGATTATAGCTTGATAATAAGCTGAACAAAGCTGAAGCTCGTTCAACCATATGCAACAGCCCGGGCAAATATAAAAGTACACGTAAAAATGTGCACTTTCATGTGCGTGAAAGTAAACATAAGATTAACAACTTATAAGGGATAGCAAATGATGACCACATAAAACCACACATTAACAAAGAAGAAGTAAATTTTCTATGGTTCAAATTATTATGAAATGATGGTAACAAGTAACAACAATATAGCTTAAAGTTTTTAAGCCATGAAGTAAGCTTTCAAAGATTCTAACATTTTCTAAGAGATCATATGATGAAGCACAACGAGAGAAGCTCGATGAAAATATTATCATTCTCATCTTAATAATTTAGCGATTGTTTTGTTATTGTTATATGATGCTATCGTGGTTGTAATGTAGTTATTGTTATATGAAGTTATTGTGGTTGTAATTTGAAGTTTATGGTTGTCATATGTAAGATTTAGTAATAATTATGAATGATACAGAACTTTCATGTTGTATATTAAGTGGCATTAAGATGTCATGTAATTTATTTTTGCATGAAAGCCAAGCAAGCAGTCCAAGGAAGTTGCCAATACATGTTGGGAGCAAGCCAATATTGGGTTGAAATAAAAGAGTCAATGCAACTCATCACTAACATGTTAAAGCACATCTATGGAGCATAATTCACATACCAAAAACCATGGTCAAACAATAGCCCCACAACCTCCAATTTTAAAGAACCGCCTTCACAAAATAATGCCCACTTCTCCAACACTACCACCATCTCCTTCCCTTGGTTTGTCAACTTATGTTGTAATGATTTCAATAAGATGTAAACTAATGTATTAAACAGCTTTTAATGAAGCGAAAATGAGAAGTGTTCTTCAAAGATCTTGCTTGCAGCATAATCTTGAGGCTGTTTGCCTTTTGGTACTCATCTGACATCAATTTTTTAATGAGATTTGAGTTGTGTGTTTTTTCCCATTATTTTACTCTCCTGTAGCATCTTCCACATCCCCACATTTATCAGCATTCATGTCCAATTCACATCCATGATCTATTCTACACAATACTACCTCTCGATTTAGAGGCTTTCCTCCCACCTAGGTTACACCATACACCCCCTCCCCATTTTTTTCCTTAACCAATCTTGATCACATCTACACATCATTATTGTCACTTTAACATCTCACTCCAAAAGGCAAATCACTCCATCACCCTCCACAAAATTCCTTCGCCCACTCACCTTAGAAATCCAACCACCAATTACAAAACCTTTTCGCCAATCACCCACCATACTCCCACTAGTCTTCTTCTCCCTATACCTATACAAGTTTCAGTCGAGCCCCAACACCACCGCAAGTCCACCAACAAAATCCTTAACCAAGCACCACTTATAGACCACAAAAATATCTTATAGTCTTTACTCTTTTACACCACTTCAAAAACCTTCCCCACCATTTCCAGCACTATTCACCATAACAAAAGAGTTAGAACGGTCCCATTATCTAGCCCAAGAGCTCACACCAACAATTTTGGCATCACAGCTAAAAGAAAGAACATTAGAAATTGAAGATTATGTGTGCACCAAGGCAACCACACCAAGGTTTCTTCAAAGTAACATCACAACTAGGGGAAATTATTATCTCCATATGGAAACCTCTGTAATATCAACTTCAAATCCTTAACTTAGTACAACTTAATTCCATTTGATGTTTTGACCTAGCCAATCCAAAGTCAAATGATACTAAACCTATTTATACATTGAGTGTTACACATTAGAAAGGGTGAGATACACTCAAAGTTATAGACATGATAACCTTTAAATGTGGATTAAATTGTAATGTTGTAAGTATATTCACTTGATAGTTGTTTGTAACATTAATTGCATGTTATTATTCCTCACTTAAAACTAGTTGCAACAACTTAATTGGAGGCTTACCACATTTTTTTCATTCAACTTTTTCAGCATTTGTTTACTGCACGTAATGTTTAAATTAAAAAGCACTTAATTACATCTGTGTTTGCATCATATCATTTGAACTTGAATCGATGGATCAAAAGCAAATAATAGTTTCGATGATAGAAAAGATGGCCAATAACTCAATATCTAGCACAATAATTCAAGAGACCATACAGTTATCTAACATAAAATGTGCATATGATTCCAATGAATGAAAACAAAATGACAACTTCCAAGCATGCACTAGTTGTAATGAAAAAAGATGAAGGATGGATATGGATAAAAATAGTACATTAAATGTTATATTACTCCAAAGCTTTTAAGAGTCAACTTAAATTTGACCCAAATCATAAGCCTTTCCAAGCTAGCTGGCTAATAAGACAGCATATAATGTAACCCATAGGTGCACAGCCCCTATTAAACTAGATAGTTATGAGAATCAAATATGGCATGATATCCTTCCTATGAATATGATCTATATCTTTCTAAATAAACTTTGGAATAGTATGAATGTTACCTATAAGTATGATAAACACAATTATACTTTTAAATATAAAGACAACATACTTCATTTAACATAATAAAAAATAGTAAATTCAAATGTTTTAAAAATAAATTACATAATAATAAAAACCCCCTTGAGAATAGTAATTATACTCCTGGGATGCCAATTGATGGTGATTGGTGGTAGGAGAATCTTTATGGGGAAGGTGAATGCCAACTCAAATGCCATAAATCATTATTAAAACCAATAGCCCCACCTCTATTTTTAAGAAACCCACATGCCACAAACAATTCTGATGGACCGGCCAATTTGATTGGGAGGAAATTAGGAAGTTTCCTAATCAAGAGGGAGTTGTTTAGAAAGGTTCTTAACAAAGGGGAATTGTTTAATTGTTTAGAAAAATGTTAATTACAATTGGGAGGCAATTATTTAGGGTAAGAAATCTAATTTGAATTCAAAATATAAGAGGGAATTATTTAGGAAAAGGGAGGAGGAATCAAGAGGGAATTGTTTAGGAAAACTTTAATTACAATTGGGAGGAAATTATTTAGGGCATGAGATCTAATTTGAATTCAAAATCTAAGAGAAAATTATTTAGGGAAAGGGTGCTGATTTGGGAGGGAATTAGAGGGAGCCTATTTAAGACTAACTATATTGTTATTTTTAGGGAGGTGATTTGTATTTGTTGTAGTCTTTTTGAGAGGGCTCTAGCTGGCGGCTAGAAATTTGCGAGAGTCGGATCTTCCTCTTCAATTGAAGATCCAATTGTATCTTCATTTTTTTTTATATCTTTCACTAAAAAGTTCTTGTGTGTTCTTCCTCCTAGTTTTCTCAATTTCTACATCCACTTCCTATCAAATTCCCACTACCATCAACAACTACCTTGTCCTTCCCTTTATTTCATCTAATTATATTGTAATTATACTCAGAAGATGTCAAATGATGGTGGTTGGTGGTAGGATGATTTTTATGGGGAAGGTGAATATCAACTCACATGCTATAAATCATATTATTAACCAGCAGCCCCACCAACGTTTTTTAAGAAACCAACTCTACAAAACAATTCCCACTCCTCCAAAACAGTCAACGACTACATCCTCCTTCCCTTTACTTTGTCTCATTAAGTTGAACTTATTTAAATAGGATGTAAACTAGGTATTTAAACATTTTTTAATGAATCCAAAATAAGAAGGAATTGTTCTTCTTCAAGATCTTTTGGTGGCTTGCTCTTGAAGGTGTTTGCTTTGTGGTGTTCATCCGAACTCAAATATTTGGTAAGATCTAAGACTTGTGTTCTCTTTCTTGTGTTTCTCTAGGACTTTCTTATGTTTTAGCATCCTCCACATCCACAAATTCATCAGCATAGACAACCATAAATCATTCCACAATACTATACTAGGATTTGATCCTTTCTCCAACCCTAGGCTGCACCATATGTCCCTTTACAAGCCTCATAACCCCTCCCCCCTCTCCCCATCAACCTCCAAATCACATCTACACGTCATTATAATATACTAAACTTCACATTCTATAAGAAAAACATTCTCTTTCCCTCCACAAAATTCCTCAAACCTAGGGAGTTCAAAGATTCCCCTGACCTTCACCCAAACCACTCACTCCCAAGCCTCCACAATCAAGGCTGACCCTTACCAATCACTCCACATGTCCATCTCTCTTATTCACCCAATACAAATTTTAGCTAAGCCCTAACGCCACTCCAAGTTCATTAAAAAAAATCTCTAATCAATCATCACCTCTCAACCACAACAACAATCCCTCTCCGTTACACAACTTCAACACCACCACTCCAAAGGCATCCACCCATTCACTAAATCAAGAAAAATAGAACACTCAACCACAATAGTGCTCACAAACTTAAATAAGCAAATTTCAATACCAATATATGTACTTCATAAATTTGAAAAGTATTGCAAGTTTATGGCATTACAGAAAATGAAGGACTAATTATTCCTAGATAGACAGAAACTTATCTACCTGATTTATGGCTTTATGCAATGCCCTTAATTAAAACTAAAAATAAACATCGAGGACAAACTACATAACTAATAAAATACTTAAAATTTGTGGTTATTTTGATAACAAAAAGAAATCATAGCGGCCAGGTGAGGATAAGGCTACCAACCTAGGCTTTATTTGGTAATACTATGCTGTGTAGTAATATGTTGTTTAGGTGTTAATATGATGGAGATGGATGAGTTGCTCCACAATTGCATTCTCCATGAACATGAAGTTAAGAGGGGTGCATCCATGGCTTATAAATTTTATCATGTTTCCCTCTCTAAATCGAACTAGTATTATGGTAGGTGTTCTAAAAGAAATAGAGAAGCAATGTAAAACTAATGAAGCTTATATTGTGAAGTTGGATTAGCAAGCTAGGCAGTCAAAGAAATAATGATTTCTATTATATCTAACTCAATTCTATAAGGAGAATTCATCTAACTATCAAAAGTTCTGATTCTAATTAGAATAAATAAGAGTGGTGAGACATCTCAATGGAGATATTAAGTCAAAGACGTAAATAGAATTCCTAGGGGTGGAAAAATTCTATAGACAAGATTGTTAAGAAAATCTTTCATCACCTCAGTAAGCCATAGAGAAGCAGCAAGGGAAAATAGTGAACAAAAATTTCAAATTTCAACATAGATGATAATTGAAGGGGGAAAAAAATCAATACAAAGTTAGAGTTCAAATCTTGATCTTTTATGTTAGGCAGCACTTACAATCAAAAAAATACAAAAAGTTTATATCAAAAATAACATCATCATTTCTAAATGTTGGAAATAATTGTCAACCGATATTGCAAGGCAGAGCTACCTTGAGTAAGAATCAATAATTAAGTTGCGAGTTATTATCAAGTCCCGAATTTTCAACAGCAAGAGAGAAACAAAGGAGGAAGTTGACGGTGTTATGCAAACATAGGAAGATCATAGGCAATGAAAAGCAGTAAGTGAAAACAAAGGACAAAAGCAGAGGATAAATTGAACAGAATTCAAAAAGCACCTCAACATGTCTACTTTTGTCTACTTGCCATGGGGTTTCAAATAATGATGGAGAAAAGAGTAAGCAAACATATCGATTTAAAGTTGTAAACAGCCGGTGGGTTCTACATTAGCAGAGAAAAATTAACACAGCACAGTTTACAGGTCTAAGTAAACATTTTCAACAAAATTTCATACAGGCGCAACAACCCTACAAAGCAAGCAATGTAGTGATTGCAAAAATACCTCGTCCAGATAATCGACATCAAGATCACCAGAGTAATCAACATTTCCAAACATAAACCCTAGGAGCCGACCCCCTCCACCAACCTCCTCATACTCTTCCTCGTCCTCTGTCAAATGAAAAACTCCATAAACAAAACGAAACAAACAGAGTAGTTCAGACTAAAAATGTAGAAGCACTATATATAATCTAACTCCAAAGTAGTAGGGATGTTAATATTTAGAATGCTCGTTGGTCAAATGGAGTAATAACGACAATGTCTAGGGTCAAGCCACACCTTCTTCTCGCCCATCATGAGATGCAGCTTCGTCCATTGTCTCCCAAATCTGATACAGCAAAGGAAGGATACGTGTTCAGAATCAATCTGCTACATATTAATTTGGAAGAACGCCATCAAATCAACTAATTTCTCCAGTGACTGCTTAGAAATAAGCGGTCGAGGTTCCACAGTGCGGCTACGAGGCGGTTGCGACTGGACTAGGAGGAGCAGAACCGTGAGTCCGTGGCACTGACCGAGCAGAAGAACTAGAGAGGTCACAGGGAAAAAGATCTCTAGAACCGCATGATGGCAGGGGTGGCGACCTTTCTTTGTATGAGAATAAAAAGCGAGCCTGTCGAAAACACAGATCATAAACGCATGGGTATATAGAGTTATGTGCCTCGCAGTCGCCCACCGCGGGTGGCTTAATTGTAGAATCACTGGAGCAAGATGGCAGGAGGGACGACCTGCCTGTGGCGGCGAAGAAAGAGCGGGCTCGAGGAAAGCGCGAACAAGAAACACACTGGTAAACTAAGCTGTGTGCCTCACAGATGCCCACAACTAGAGCCCAGAGGATTAATCGCAGAATCAGCGAAGGAGAAGAAGCCGCGAGATGGGTAAACCTGGAACTGCAATCCTTCAGGGCTGTTTGGCAACGGGATTTATGCAGGTTTTGAGCAGGATTTAAGTAGCCAGTAGATCTCACGGCGGAATAAATCCTCCGTTTCCCTCTTTTTTCCGTAAATCCCGGATTTACTAAATCCTGGAGTTCGGCGGATTTACGGGATTTGGCTGAAGAAGCGCACGAAAGGGAGAACCATAGTTACTTTCACAGCGAGCGAGCTCCCGTCGCTACGTCCAATCCAACAGGAAGAACAGCGAACTTTCGGGACTTGCCGAGGAGGCGAAGAAGATTTTAGCGACTCGTTCAAAACCCTACTTTTCACGCTAAGCTGGCAGGCTACGAAGAACGAAGAACGCGGAACAGAAGAAAGAGCAAATCGTCAGTAATTGTTTAGGAATTAATTTAAGTAATTTAGTTATTATAAATTAAAAAATTAAAATATATTTACAAGGTTCTCAAAATCGGACGGGACAACGAACCGGAAGAGGGAGAGGTTCAAATCGGGGTCGAACCGGATGACGTAATAAATAATTATATTATTAAAATTTAATAAAATAAAAATCAGATAATATAATTATATGAGCATTTAATAATATTTATAAATTTTTATACATATAAATATCATTTAATAATAATATATTTATAAGAATAACACTTAATATAATATATAAATTTATAATATAAAAAATTTATGATCATTAATATAATTTAAATAATTGAATATATGACCATTTAAT